CTATGATATCGATACACATTATCAAAAAAGAGCCTTGCTGTGACTTCACTAGACGATGTCTTCTTACAAGGGACAAAGTGCGCCATCTTTGTAAGCCGATCTACCACGACAAAGATGCTGTCAAATGAGTTCGATGATGGGAAGTCCATGATGAAGTCCATGGAAACTGAAGACCATGGTCAACGTAGAATCAACAATGGCAGTAGGAATCCATAAAGGCAATGCCGAGGATTCTTTGATCTTGAACACATGTTGCAGGAGAGGATAAAATCTTTCACATCCTTCCACATTTGGGGTCACCAAAAATCTCGAGAAATAAGCTCCAAGGTCTTGTTAAATCTAAAATATCCCTCAGCTGGAAAATCGTGTTGAGATTGAAGAACTCAGAGTCGTGCTAGTCCTTTTGGAATATATAACCGCTCCTCAAAGTATAAAAGATCTCTCTCCACCTTCAACTTGTCGTCATTGGCACGCTGCTTAATATCAATGGCTACTGAATCTTCAATGGTCATGGCACGTACATGATTCAAGAAGTCAGTATCAATTGGCTTAATAGTAGCGCAAAGCTAAAATTGCTCTAGCTTCAATAATATCATACATTGTTGATCAAACGCTACTTCTCTAGCCTTTGGTACAAGATACGATCTCATCGATAAAGTATCAGATAGTCCTTGCTGCTTTCCAAGTCGATAAGTGATAACAAAATTGAATCTAAATAGCAACATACTCGACCGAGCTTGACGTCGATTTAGAACTCGAGCTGATATGAAATACTCCAAATTCTTGTGATCTATGTATACGGTCATTGGATGTGCAGCTCCTTCAAGAAAATGACTCCATTCTTGAAAAGAATCCACTATAGCAAGAAGTTTCTTATCGTGGATCTCATAATTGATTTCAGCAATAGAGAACTTTTGAGAATAGAATGCACCAGATAGAGCTTCTTGTCTTCTCCCATTTGTGAAAGTACAGCTCCCAAAGTAAAATCCGAAGCATCAATTTCTAAATAAAAGGCCTTTGTAAAGTCTGGATGTACCAAGATTGGAGCCGTAGTAAATGCGGTCTTCAAGTCTTGAAATGCCTTCTCCGCTAGAGGTCCCCATTTCAGCTTATCCTTGCATGTCAACCGAGTGAGAGGAGCAGCAACTTGAGAGTAATTCTTGATGAAGATCCGATAGAAGTTGATAAAACCAAGAAAGCATTGTACGTCTCTCACTGTCTTCGGAACCTCCCAAGACACGATTGCTTTCACCTTCTTGGAGTCCATCTTCAAGGCTTCTCTAGTCGCATCGAACCCCAAAAACTCCATCTCTATTAGGTGAAATAAACACTTCTCCAACTTGGCATATAGTCCTCACTCGCGTAGTTTCTCGAAGACCAAACAACGTGCTTTTCATGCTCTTCTTTATTTTTGAAAAATATCAGAATATCATCTAAATAGATGACAATAAAATCGTCAAGGTATTCTCGAAAAATATCATTCATCATATGTTGAAAGACCGCTGGAGCATTGGTAAGACCAAAGGGCATGACATTATATTCAAAATGGCCATACCTTGTACGGAACGCTGTCTTCCACTCATCTCCTTCCTTGATTCATACGAGGTTATAAGCTCCCCTTAGATCAATTTTTGTAAAGATCCTTGCACGTCCAAGTTGTTCTAAGAGACCAAAAATCAAAGGTAACGGATAACGATTCTTCTTTGTTACCTTGTTGAAGCCTCGATAGTCCACGCACACCCGCAATGAGCCATCTTTCTTCTTCACAAATAAGGTGGGTGCTCCAATTGACAATTTTGAATGATGAATAAAGTTCTTGGCTAGATTCTCGTCGATGTACTTCTGCAACTCCGCCAACTCCATCTGCGATAGATTGTAGATTGGGCCAAAAGGCGGTTGTGCTCCTTCCTGCAAGTCTATGGCGCAATCATATGGTCGGTGTTCCAGTAGCATGTCGACATTTTTCTTTTGAAACATGTCTTTAAAATCCTTATATTGCTCCGGTATACTTGTTGTCGAGATCTTCTCCGTGGTAGTTGGAGCCGCATAAATGACAAACGATGTGCCTTCCTTGGACAATCTTATAAACGCTCTTACTCTAATGAATAAGGATTTCTCTATTCGGAGTTTTCTACTAGGCTTGCTCTTGGGTGATTTTGTAAGAAAGGTCATCTTCCCCAACTTCCAATTTATGGATGGATTATACTTTTCTAATCAAGAAAGACCAAGAATAACAAGATTTGATGGGATTTTAATAATATTGAAAATAATATGACTACTATGGCCTTTAAACGTCACTTCTATAGGTTCTGATTCATGGATGACACTACCAGACAATAAAGGTCGTCCATCTATGACCTCAACGTGAATAGGTTTGGATTTTTGTACTAAAGGGATCTTATGATGCTTCGCAAATTCTTCGTCTAAGAAATAAGCAGATGCTCTTGAATCTAATAATACTAAGGTTCTCAGTTTCTGAGGGCCAATAAGCAAAGGGATTGTAAAACAAAGGGCAGGTTGAGCGAAAAGAAAGGAACCTGGTTGTTGTTACGATATTTCACTGTCTAGTCGCACGGTTCCTATTATGGTTGGGCATCCTCATTTTCTTGAATAAACGTGCCTCTAGTCTTGACAATCCATCGATTTTACTTCTTGGGTCAGTTTCCAACTTTGTGGCCTTCTTCACCGCAATACAAGCATAGACCTTCCTCCATATGCCGCTTTTTTTCTTCTAGAGTAACAAATTTGATACGTATCGCATCAATTTGCATGTTGTAATCGTCGTTTGATTCGGACTCAAAACATCAAGATATTTGATCAGTATAGGTGGGTTTGATCTCGGGGAAAGACTCGTTGTATGAATTGGATATGTTATGTCACAATTGATTATGTATTAATTATCTAAAACTTCCAAAGTTCTCTTCCTCATCTCAATTCAATCCCTTCACAATCTCTACAATCGTTCACTACCCTGCAGCTACTAAATATCACTGACATTCCTGACATCTACAAGATGCTTAATTTCTTTCCACAGTACTTCAATTCTCAATTCCTTTACTTTTACTCAATCTTCCAGTGCTACTAACACAATGCAATAATCTCTATTATCACAATCACACTTTCTTTCTCCAAATTAATTAATTCGAATTCATAATTTTCAATATCTCAATCACAGTTTCAGCAATCTTTTTCTTAAATCCAATACTAAAGAAAAACACAAAAGCAAAGAAAACAAAAGGGTAGCTCCAAGCTTTACCCTGGCTCACGACTATCACAGTCTGGCCCCCATTCCTTCTTCCTCAACCTCTTTATCCTACCAAAATATGAATCGTCATTCAGCAAATTCCACAGGTTGTGAAACTTTGGCTTCTTAACCGCATATGTTCCTAACTTCCTACTATTAACAACTAATCGAACTAACCATTCATCTAAATCCCAACATTACTACTATTTAACCGATAACGAACCAGAAAAGTCATTTATACATTCTACATAGCCCCACTCCTTACTATGCAGCGTCCTCGCAAACCACCTCGTACTACGTTTTACAATATCACCACATCATTGGCTTCCTCCAATGTCTGAACCTCTGGTCTGCCTTGGTCCGTTTCATCATTTCCATAAGTGAGATTGGTTTCGACTTCTTGAGCTTCTTCTCCAACTCCCTCTCCCACCTGCTCTCTGTTCAATAAAGCTATCAAGTCTTCCTTAAGTGCTCTCAATTCCCGAACCTGAGACTCCAAAAGCGCAATTTGGGTGTCTCGCTCTTTCAGCTGCTCCTCCAGGGCATGCACCTGTTTTTCTCTAATTCTCGTAAAGATGTACTTGCTGGATTGACCTCTCCTTGCTGCGTGGTAACTGTAATCATTTCTGCCTCAAATTCGGCAATCCTTCTCTTCAATTGCTCGTTCTCCATCTTCGAGCTCTCTGATTGTCTTCGAAAATCGTCCTCCAATTTGGATCTCCCGGCTTCCAATTCTGCCACCCTATTCTTCTCCTCCTGGTATTGGTTCCACAACTCCATACACTCCTGCTTGGTAAGCTCTACAAGACTCTTTGCCAACTTGTTCTCCTTGGCCCATTCTGCTTAGGTTTCCTTGAATTGGTGCTCTAATCTTGAATATTTGAGAGCATCCGTTACTAAAGCACGTTGTAAATCCCCAATCTTCTTCTTCTGATCCTCAATGATCTTGTCCTTTTCCTCCGGTACCTGTCTAAGGCTGAACTCATTGTCCATTTTCTCAACGGCCATCTGTAATTGAGTAATTTGTGCCGAGATTAACTCCTTGAGTTCTCTTGCCTGCTGACCAGCTCCCGATAAATCCACCCGTTGATAATACTCTACCAATACTGGTGGAGTGACGGCCATATTGGTATTAGGACGACCCAATTCTCTAGATGACGAGCTGACATTGGTCCGTTCGCAATTTCTAGCTTGCCTGCACTCTGCTATCGCCGCTTCATCGACTTGTTTTGATGGCAATGGCGTTGACTCTACTCTTGTCTCTGTTGCTACAGCGTCTAGTCTCTCCACCATTGAAGGTTGCTTCAGTTGATATCTAATTGCTTCACACACGTAGTTGGAGCATAACATCGTCGTAACCTTCCCTGTTCTTCTTTTCACGTCCAATTTTGCATGGATTCTGGTCGCAACATACGCTGTTCTTCTTTTCACGTCCAATCACTATCTTTGCTACTCACGATAATCCTCTAAAACCTATGCTTAGTAATATGAATCAAGAAATTGTAATGTAAACAATGCCAGCCAAGAGCCCCACTCCTAACTTCTACCCTGGTTCTCCTCCTAATATGACTTAACCTAATAGGCCTATAACAACCTATCCTATTAGTGTCTTCCTGACGGCTCACCTTCACTCAACCCGTCCATAATCTCATCATCACACGCTCTTCCCTTCCCATCACAACTCTTGCGCTGTCACTTCAATACTAAATTGGCTTTCTCTCTCCCCCCCCCCACCGATATAAAACCCGTCCCGGGTTTATGTAGTATACAGATGTAGCCGATTTCCATTTATACGCATGGTAAATTTAGCACCCATAAAGTCTTCCAATTGGACTGAGCCATTGGGAAAACCCTCAATGACTCTGTACAGCCCATGCCACCGAATATGAAATTTTCCTGGAAAATTTTTAAAACGACTGTCATAAAGCAGTACCAAATCATTGGGCATAAAAAATTTTGGTTTTAATTTACTATCATAATAACTTTTCTGTCGCCTTTGAGTGGCCTCCTGTCTCAATAGGGCATTGGTTCGAGTTTCATCCAACTGCTCCAATTGTGCGAAACGAACTTGTAACGACTCCGTATCCCCCAATCGTTCCTCCAATGCAATGCGCAAACTTTGAACTTCGAATTCGATACGTAATATTGCTTCTTGACCATAAACTAATTTAAAGGGTGTGACATTAGTCGTAAGTTTATATACAGTACGGTATGCCCACAAAGCGGCAAACAATTTAGTGTCCCAATCCATGCCTGCATCAGATATTGTCTTGGTGATAATTGTACATAATATGCCGTTGGTCTTTTCTGTTTGGCCATTTGCTCTGGGATGATACGGTGTCATCTTGCGGTGTTTAATCTCATATTTAGCAGTCAATGCTTCAATTGTACTATTAATGAAATGGGTTCCTCGATCACTGACCAATTCTTTTGGACAGCCAAACCGTGTAATAATATTTTCATATAAGAGTGTGGCTACATCACTAGCACTATCAGATTTTGTTGCCTTCGCTTCGACCCATTTGGTAACATAGTCCGTGGCAACCAATATATACCATTTTTGTCCATGGCGAGAGGCAGGTGCAATTGGGCCCACAAAATCAATACTCCATTTTTCAAAAGGTGCCTGTGCCAGAATTGGAACTAACGGCATCGCGGATGTACCCGTAGGACGACCAATTCGCTGGCACGGGTCACAACGACGTGCAAACTGGTGAGCATCCGCAAACAGTGTCGGCCACCAATATCCCGCCTGTAAAATTTTGCGTGTTGTGCTGTCGCCTGCAAAATATCCACCACAACTATCCAAATGACATCCTTCCAATATAGTGCGTGCTTCATTCTGATAAACGCAACGACGTAAAATTCCATCTTTCCCTTGTTTATATAAAGTTTCTCCAATCATAGTATAAGGTGCACTTTTCAAAACCAATCTTTTCTTAAGCTTCTCCGTAAAATGGAAAGAAAAAGTTTGAAAAGTCAAATACTGTATCAATTCGCTATATTCCGGTGTAATTAGGTTGACAAGAAATAACTCAACGTCAGGTAATGCATTTGGAATGGGTTCAATTCCAAATATATTGGACAGTCGCGATAGATGGTCCGCATTGGCATGCGACTTCTCCGGCCGTACATTAATAGTAAAATCAAATTCTTGTAAAAGTAATACCCATCTTGCGATGCGGCCACTCAACTGGGGCTTGTTAATCATATATTTTAAAGCGTCATGATCCACGTGGAAGACAAATTTATATCCAAGAAGATAATGTCGAAACTTTTGGACAGAATAAATCATTCTCAAAGCCTCTTGCTCAGTTGTAGTGTAATTCCGTTCGGCAGCCACCAACTGACGGCTTGCATAATAAATAGGATGATCGTGGCCCTTGTCATCCTTCTGGCTCAATACCGAACCAATCGCAACATTAGAGGCATCAACATAAACCTCAAAAGATTTTGTCCAACATGGGGCAACCAATATTGGTGCAAAAATCAATTTTTGTTTTAATGTTTCAAACGCAACTGTACATTCCTTGGTCCAAATTGGTTCGAGACTGTCCGATAGTTGCTTTTTCAACAAATTTGTCAATGGAATACACATAACAGCAAATAGATAAATAAAACGTCGATAATAGCTAACATGCCCAATAAAGGTGCGAACACCTGTCACTGTATCGGGTATTTGGAGTTCTAGTATAATTTTTATTTTATCCGGATCGGTGGCGATACTTGTTTTTGATACGATATGACTCAATAATTTTCCTGAGGGTATTCCAAATTTAGATTTTTTTGAATTCAAAGAAATTCCAAATTTAGTACATTTGCCTAAGCACCGGCCCAATTTGTCTAAGTATTCTTCTCTGATATTGAATGAGCAGAAATCATCTAAAAAGATTTCCATTGAAACCCGTAACTCATCTTGGAATGCTTGCATCATCACCCTCTGAAATGTAGCTGGCGCATTACAAAGTCCGAAAGGCATGACCTTATAAGCAAAAGTTCCCCAATCCGTAGTAAACGTAGTCTTTAATTGATCCTCTTTTGTAATTTATACCTGATTATATCCAGAAAAAACATCAAAAAATGAATAACATTCGTGGCTGCTACTGCGTTTAAGATACTATCTATAAATGGTAAAGGAAAGTAATCCTTCTTTGTAGCAGCATTCAACTTTCGAAAATCTTCGCAAATTCGGACTTTCCCATTCTTCTTGGGAACCATAACCATCGACGAAACCCATTCACTATGTGATACAGGATATATAAATCCACCTCCAGAAGCTTATTCAATTCCTCCTTTACCATCAACGAATATTTAGGATTCAGTCGATGTTGCCTTTGTCGTACTGGTGTAGCCGTGTCCTCCAATTTTATTCGATGCTCACAAACTTCAGCTGGAATACCCTTCAAATCTTTATAAGATGAAGCAAAAGCTGATTTATGTTTTATAAAATAATATGTCCAAAGCTCTTTAGTTTTACCCGTTATACCATCATAAATTTGATCAATTTGGGATTATCCTTTGTGCCTAGATTTATTGATTGACACTTTGGTCCATTAAGAGCTTCAGCGGTAATCTTCTGCTCTGTTTCGGGATCTTTCATAAACTCCGACAAATTGGAGCTTTCCAATTCGGGATCTATAGCACCAACTTGATTAACATCTCTTCGCTGCATCCAGTGTGCAATCATATGATCTGAATCATCAATAACGTCTAGAGGAACAAAATATTCTCCTGGTCCTCCACAATGATAAATATTCCTATTTTGTACTGCAACTTCCCGTGCCTCGACAGCCTTTGATTTTGAAACAACCAATTCTTCTTCCGTATACTCCTGTTCGCAGTCTGATGTATATTCTAGACTGGTAATTTGAGTTTCTCTGTAATACTGGACAGGATACATTTGGAGCACTATTTTATCCTTACCATTTCTAATTGTTAGCGTTCCACGACCCCAATCGTTCTGAGCTTCAGCTTGATATAGCCACGGTCGACCCAACAAAATTGGATATGATAATACTATGCTTTGCAATCGGAATACAATATAATCAATTGTGTATGTAATCCCCGCAACAACTGTATCAATTCCTAGTAAAGTACCCATAGGTCGGACTCGACTTGAATCTGCCATTCGCAAAACAACCGTAGTTGGCATTAATTGGTCCAATCCCAATTCTTCCATTGTATCTACATTCATGAGGTTAACGCTAGCCCCGCCATCCACTTGTACACCCTAAACTAATACTCCATCAATTGATACATGAATAGTCGGTGCGCCTGGATCCGGATTCAAACTTACTTCACGAATTTCTTTTTGACGAGTTCTTCGTCGAATCAAAGAAGAGTTTAAGGTGTTACGGCATTCTGGTGCTACTGCCAATAATTACTTTATTGTGATTGTTGGTTGAATTGAACCTAAATCCTTCAGAATATCATAGGATTCCATATTGGTCATGATTCCCAATGTCTTTTTTTTCTTACGGATTTCGGATCCCGGTCCCCGTATATTGGTACTTCCAATATCAGGAAATGATCTTCTTCGATTTTTGGTTGCAACTACTCCTTGAAAATTGGATCCTTTAACTGGTGCGACTGTCCACCGTATTGGTATAATATTGGTAATTGTGAAATTGGTGGACGCATCAATATATTGGTCGAATTGGGTTGTGACGGTGACGCTTCATCCAATAATGGAGCAGATTTTGGTATTGGTCTGTTGACTGGGGCTGGTATCGATTTCTCCAATATTTGAATTGGTTCTTTGTCTTTTTGCTGATTTCTTGTCAATACTGCATGAATCGCTTCCACCCGATGTACTGGTGATTCCTGTGGTTTGTTTGTTTTTTCTATAATTTACACTGTTGATGTCATGTGTTGGTCCCTACTATTTGGATTAAAAGGCACATTACATTGGTAGTGGTAATGACCAGATTGCTTACAATTTGCGCAAAGAGGTGCGTCTTCTTCGACAAATCTTAGATTGTTGTAATCACTTGCATAATGACCCAATTGGCAGCATCGAAAACAACGAACTGGTTTTCTTCTTGTCCCGTCAGGTACATTGGGAGTCTCCATCGGGACATACCTTCCAGGTCGGTTCCATCTTGGTGCAGTAAAGGATCCAGGTTGACTAGTTGTCGCCATTACTGAATTGGTCTGTTGTATTGGCATCGATGGTTGATTTCCTATTTGATTTTGGCCACCATTCTGCATATTGGTCCCGTAGGGCTGATTATAGTTAGGATTTTGGAAATTTCCGAAACCACGATTCACTCTATTATTTCTATTTCCATTCCATCCACCCATATTTCCTGTTTGCACTTGATTTACATCCCATATAGTTGGTTGTATCATTGTTTGTTGTCTTGGTAAGTACCAACAATTGGCAGTGTTATGCTTTCCTCCACAATACATACACTATCCCATCTTGTGATGAGGCGAGGGACATTCTGTATCAAAGTGTTCCTGTCCTTTACAGTTGTTATACCATACATTAGGTCTCATATTAGAAGGTTTATGCCTTTTCTCTTTATCTTTAGTCATATGCACGGCTAATTCTTCCATTTTCTTCATTAGATTTAACAATAGAGCTTCGTTAGAATCGTTAATTGTTGCATTCATCGGTACTTCAGGTTGTCGATATGCCATCGACAAAGGATAAGTTGCCACGGGTGGTATCGCCTGCAAAGGAGTGGCATTAACTACTCCTTGAGAATTGGGATTTCCCATACTAGGCGCAATCATTCGTGGGTAGCTCCCTATCATCGTATTGGTCATTGGAACTTGATTTCTTACACTAGGAATCATTGTGGTTCCCACCATCAACAGTTGATCATAATGGCACTCCTCCCACACCTTTGCACGTGCTAAAGAGGCAGCTACCGTAACTGGTTGAGACTCCTTAACAAACATCTTCAATTCTGGGAGATGCAACCCATTCACTATTATTGACAATATAAACGCGTCTGGCATTTGATTGTTTGGCCATTTACGTAATATATCTGCAACTCGGCCATAATACGACTGTACCGATTCTCCGACAAACATTTTACTGTTCAGCAAATTTTCTCGAAGACGATCTTCGAATCCTATTGGTCAAAAATGAGTTAAGAAAGCATTTTTCAATGCTTCCCAATTAGGAAATTGTCCCACTGGTTGTCGAATATATCATTCAAACGGTGTATCCTTTAAAGTCGCTGGCAACCATCGCAACCAGACATCTTCAGTTCTGCCATTATTGGCTACACACGCTGTCAAAAATTGAGACAGGTGTTGATCGGGATCAGAATCCGCCCATCCATTAAACGTGGGTAATGGAGCCACGCTAGTGGTGCGATCTCCAATTGCTCCCATCTGTACTGCTATTGGCAGTGCGGGTGCTTCTTCTGCCATTGATACTTGCGCTGGTCTTCTTGCTATATTAATATGAATTCTTCTTTTTGTTCCAATTTGATATTAGCTCACTCTTCTTTCTTGTAAACTATCGCTATTATTCAATTCTTCTGTACTTAAACTTCTTATAATTACTGAACTTGACTCTGACGCTTCGTTACTCGTGGTATCCCCTACAATCGCTCGCGGTAATTTCTCCAATGGTATATAATGGTGCAATATTACACTTCTTTCAGAACTTGGATATGCTCGAATACTCGCACATACATGCAGCCACGGCTTTATCCAACTCCATCGACGTTTCTTACGTTGAATCCCTTCTTGTTGTTGTCGTAATAAATTTCTGAAATAAAATCGCTCCTGTCTTTCCTTTACTTGTTGATTCCTTCTGTGATTATCATAGTCGTAATCACCGCTCATACTCCTTCAATCTCGTCTTTTGTACCATCAATTCTTTAACATTTCATACTGTTGTCAATCCC